TTGTTTCAAACGCCTATCTTTCAAATTTTGGCGTAATCACCTAAATTCAAGAAGAATAGCCACATATACCTATATTTCCTACCTCGAACCAAAGAGCCTAACAATTGAAAGCCACAAAGTCCCAATGATCCCAATAGCTTAGTGTTCGATATTAGTAGAGTAGAATAATTTGGTGAGTATTTGGAGTCAAGCATATGCATGTAAGTATAAATTATTTCTATCTTTAATTTGCAAATATTGGATGCTTAAAGCAATTGTATGAATTGTGGTTTTTGGTAATGGTGAGTGACTAAGTGTTGTTGAATTTTGAGCTTGCGAATGCCTAAGAATTGTCATTATAATTACAAGTTCTGAAAACGTGAAGTTGATCATTGATCTATGTGATGAGATGTAGTAGTTGAGTTATTTGCTTATTGGTAGATTTTGCTTGAGGACAAACAAAAGTTTAAGTTTGGGGGTGTGTTAAGTGTATATTTTTACACTTTATCGTACCTTTTTATTTGAGCTTTTGGTGTGTTTTAACGATAATTGGTGCTTAAAAAGTTGATTTATTGTATTTTAGGTACAAATTGAAGAATTAGAAAAGTATGGGGTCAAAACTGCAATTTTGGAGAAAATATGGGCCAAAAGTAAAAAAACCAAAATTCTGCAGATTTAAAGCTCGGACAGCCGTCCGAGTTTTAGTTCAAATTATGGGACGGCCGTCCGAGACTCCGAAGCAGCGCAGTCAAGGGATTTTAATTGCATAAGGGAACTACCTTCTTCCCCAAGTTCTTCACCCTACATAAGACCAAGCCAAGCACACAATTGGGGATCTTTTTACGCAATTTGGAGAGCAACAAAGCAATAACGAAGACGAAGAATTCGAAGACTCTAAGCATATATTTATCGTTTATGACTTATTTTATTCGTGGTTTTCCTTTAATCATGAGTAGCTAATTTTCTTATTTCTAGGATTTTATTTGGAACCCTATGTGGGATTTATGAACCCAATTCTATGAATTTATGCAAGTTTTAATTCCGGATTATTTCTTCTACTTGTTTTATTAAGTTCATGAAACTGGCCACTTTATGCGCTTTTATGTTATTGTTAATCGCATGAATCGGAAGATCGGGTTAATAGTTAGAACTGTGGTAGAAGAGCCTTTGTGGTATTAACATAGGAATATAGTTAATCTCTTAGACAGCCATTATTGAGATTTGTGCTTAATGCTGTGTTCTAGAATTAATTGCATAGGAATATAGTAATTGAATCTAGAGTATTAGAATCGTAATACACGCGGAAGCGGGTTATGATTATTTTAGCATCTCAGGTTAATAATCCGGGTTAATTGCTTGCATAATTGAAGGAATTGGGGGAGTAATAATCACATAGGGGGAAGAATAAAATCCTAGGCTTGCTTATCTTGATTAAATCTTCGTTTTACATTGCTTTCTTGTTTTTTCTTGCTTTTAATTTAGTTTAATTTAGTTAATTCTCTCAAAATTCGACTGTGTAGGGTGGGCTTGAAAACAATTGGTAGAATTTAGCGTCTAGGATTAAGTAATTAAATATTCCATGTGGGTTCGATATCCGGACTTTTAGTCCACTATATTACTTGTACGATACGTCCACTATAAAATTTCATCAACGGTAAGGTTTTGTTCACTTTGGCATTTTCAACATGACTTCTGCAGTCAACGCTAGCATTGATTTCGGTGTCATTTTGATTCTTGAACCGGATTATATCATCGAAACTGACCAACTCTTTGGCACTTCCAAATTTCTGAAAAAAAAACGGAATTAATTGAGACCAATCAAGATTTTTGAAGTGGAATTAGAGAAAATCGTAAATTAATAATTTACGTACCCCTCGTACAACTTCTCATTGCAGCGCTTGATAAAATCATCCGTACACATAGCAAATGTGCTGTCTAGTCGTTTCAAGAGTTTTGTAGTCTCCGTCATAGGCAATATAACCCACACATTCAAAATTTGTACGTAAACGGTGTCCTTAACTACGTTAATTGAAAACACCACATAGTATTTTCCAACCTTAATTTGCCTCACAATGTACGAAGAGCTCCTGCATTTCCATTCAACGTTTATATTCTTGGGCCGCCAACCACTTGCAAGCTTGAGCAAAACAGTTATATATCGCCAGCTTCTTAACATTGGAAGGATTCAATTTCTGAAACGAATTTCGGAAATTTTCACTGAATACAACTTGAAAAATAAAATATAACAATTACAGAAACAGGAAATTCAAGTTGTATAAACATAAAGAAACGAGTTGTACCTTGCGTTGAAGCTTGTGACGAATTGCTGCAACTTGCCTCGATGCTGAGTTTCTCGTTTGATCCATTCCATGTTGTTCATAATGCTCGATGCATAAATAATAAATATAAATACGGGAAACCAATAATAATTTGATCAAGTTTCTAAGCATACCCTTGAAGAGTTTGTACACAAGCATCACAACTACAGCCACCTCGACCATATTTCTTCGACTGCACCCGAAATCATCACATTCTTCATTATTCCCGGGAATATTTATAAACGAATAAGGCCCAAATATCTTCCCTTGAAGATATCATCTTTCGTAGCTTGAGTTCTGCACACTAGGAGCATCTAATATCCAGTTCTGATAGAATTTAGAATTTGGAAACCGACTTATTTACGGATGCATCCTGTATTGCACATTAAGCAGATGCTTTGAGTGATCCAACGAGCTCAATCATTCAAACATACTTCTCCCATATCCATCTTCTCCCTATATCTGCGTGTGTGTATACAAAATATATCAGCCATTATTTTATTTATTTATAACGAAATTATTTAATCAAATACGTACCTTCCTGATAACTGCAAGAACTGCATGCCTTACATCTGGGATCTGAAGTGCTATGATCGATTCGCACTCCTTCACTTGAGCAGCTTCATCAACCACCAAAAGATAAAACGGTTCCGTATCGACTATGTGCAGCTTATAGGCCGATGATGTTGTGCAGAATATCAAAGTAGCATTCCGGAAACACAAATCCATGGTGGCACTTGCATTAGTGCCATCTGGCAGGCCGAGTTTATCTAGAGAAGCCCGAAGAGATCTCAATGTATTCAGACATTGGGTTCTGGAATCAACACGAGATAATCCCTGGTGTAGAATCGAGAAGAGACATAAGTTTCGTTATGTAACCATGCAGTTTCTCAGCGGTGCTGCTAAATGTGCCAATCGATCTATGGCAAACTCCAAAAGTAATGATTTGGAGTACTCCAGCTTCTTATTATTATTAGCTTCTTCATCATCAAGAAATTGTTTTGCTTTGATTAGCTCATTCTCCATGTTGGCGCCAGATTTCTGTTAGTGAAGATTGAAGAAATCCGACATACGTGAAAATTAAAGATTGGCAAAGATTTGTTTTCCATGTTTATTTTGGACTTAATTAGAGTCCTATTCTTGTAATATTGTTATAAGGACTTAGATTTATTTCCATGTATTATATTTTAGTTAGATATCTTTTGTACTTATCTAAAATAGAAGTAGAAATCGACTAGGATTGTATTACCTAGTTAAATCGATTTCTTAGGGCTCAAGTTAGGTTGAGGGTGGTGATTTCGTGCCTATATAAGGCCCTCAACCTCATATAAGTCCTATGGAGCTTTAATAAGAAATATCCCAGCAAAAAGGTTTTGAAGGCTGCAGCCCATGCTGAAGCTTTGTCGGCACATCAGGTGTGGCAACATGACGGGTTTCTTCTACCAGGCCATAAAGAAGATCGGCATTTCGGGAGAAGTGGTTAAAAGATATCGGGAGAGGTCGATCCGCCGTTTCAAGGGAGCTCAACATTGGGAGGAGTCCAAGAGTGCGGATGGAGGAATTGCTTTGATTATCAACAAGTTCGAGTCGTGTGCAAGAACGGCGTATAACATGAAGAGGAAGTCTTAGTGTTTTACTAAGTCCTATTAATTTACACTGTAAATCAGAACTAGTTTGTAAGTCCTCGTGGATGTAGGGTACGTTTGTATCCGAACCACATTAAATTCTTGTGTTTTTCATTCTGCTTTTTGTAGGTTAATTACTGTGACAACACAAGAATTCTGTTATCCCACCTAATATCGTAACAAGTAATCTGTCTCAACATAACGAGTGTATTTTCATAGGCATTTAAAATCAACACTCCACAAAGATTTGATGTTGAGAAACACAATCTTCTAGAAAAATCGAGCATGGACGAGGTACAATGCTTCGAACCAGTTACTGATCCCAAGCAACTTGCAAGCATCTTAACACGACATTGGAAAAAGATTTCGTCGATTTCTGAGCTAACTTTCAAACGATCCTTATTACCTAATATGAACGTCTTCTAAAGGACAAGACAAATGGCTCTCCTCAGAAGATTCTTTTAAAACTGAATTTCTTACTTGAGAAACAACCCGACAGGCAAGTTCTTTAATTGCAACGTTTGTTGGGGCACAAATGAGCATCCTAACGTTCATTTTCAAGAGTGTATAGAGCAATCTGCTCAACGTTGCTCTCTTTCCAGTCCCGCGTGGACCCCATATGAGTTCAACTGAGGATTTGTGGTCACACTCGGATTTAGATAGACAAGCCGAAATCGCGTCGAGTTGTAATTATTTTAACTTAGAGAATAAAGTCGATCCAAGTTTCTCTTCCATCTCAACATTGTTTTTGTGACAACAAACTTCACGAATCTCCTCACCATGTAAAGGTAAGTAGAGAAATGAAAGTTTTCCAATAAAAATCTTATGATTAAAACCAAAATACAGAAGCCAAGACAGTGAATATTATAATGCCTCGTTTGGTTGCCAAGATAAGAATAACCAAGATAAAATCAAATAATCTAATGAAACCAAATTATATTATTGGACCTCCGTCGATCCAATAAAAAACATGCCTAGAAGGCAAGATAAGCCATGATAACATAATATTTGCGGGTCGACCTGACAAAGTTATTGGGATACCAAACATGAAATAAAGTCCAACTATTTTTAGTTAATAATGGTTAATCTCCCCAACCAAATGAGGCCTAAGTGTGATAAAGAGGATAATAAAGTAGTGCAGCTCCTTACCAAGTTGGTTCCGGCTAATAATTTCTCAATGATTGTCAGATTTCGATGCATGTGCAACGCTCTCCATATTCTTTTATGTGGTGTAAACCAAATTCAGTGTGTTGAGCTGCTTTCAGAGTAAAACCGGAGGATGTACAACTACAGTCGCTCTAGTCACCATCTTCAATATTAATTACGGATGCAAAAGTATATACAGATCCAACGCGTAGTAGTTCGGAAACAGTTTCGTGTTTCGAATCAGAAAGTAGAACAACATCACCGGGAAAAGTTCTGTAAGTCTCCCTACCACCATCACTTGATCTGTTTCTCCAACTATCAACGAGTACGTCGTATAGGAACCTCCAATGTGTTAGCTCTCTACGAGATGCCACCTCAGCAAAAGGCGCATAGTTTCGGTGGCGGAAGCAAGTTTGGCACGTGTTTCTTCTAGTAATGGGAAGATGTACGATCCAAGATACTCGTCGATGCATCCAACAAATGACTTGGGAATCTTCTCCACCTATACATGCAAAAGGAAATTACAACTCACAGAAATATATATATATATATATATATATATATATATATATATATATATATATATATATATATATATATATATATATATATATATATATATATATATATATATATATATATATATATATATATATATATATATATATATATATATATATATATATTGAAGGTTCTAGAATTCATGAATGTGGAAGAATACATGAATGTGTCCTTTGGAGAGATTCATGTATAATGCTATGGAGGAAGAATATTATTAATTATGTGTTCATGTATTTGTTTAGATATATACTAGGAAAATCCTATAAATAGTCTATGTAATTTTTCATTTGGAGCAAGTCAAAAAAAAAAAAAAAGTATTCTAGAGAGAATCAAAAGAGAGTTCTTGAGTGAGTTTAAATATTCGTGTTGATTGAGTGAGTAATATATTTTTTATCTCCTCTCCACTAGTCCTCCTCTCTACTTTAAGTATTCCGCTGCGTGTTTTCGATCTATATTATTAAATCAATCCAACAAAGTGGCATCAGAGCCACGTCTTAATAGAAAAGATCGATGGCAACCACAAATGGAGCTTTCCCATTTCAAAAGCTTGCAAAAGAGAACTATGATCGATGGAGCATACAAATGAAAACTTTCCTTGGAGGACAAGACGTTTGGGAAGCCGTTGAAGAATAGTATGTTTAACCGGAGAATTTGGCTTCATTTAGGCAAACCCAAAGGAAGACATCCAAAGAAGCCAAGGTGAAAGATCAAAGAGCGCTGTCCATTATCCAACTCGGTGTAGATGATAGTAACTTTGAGAAAATTTCTCAAGCTACTACGGCGAAGCAAGCGTGGGATATTCTTAGCAATGCTTTCAAAGGCGTTGATAAGATGAAGAAGGTACAACTCCAATCACTTCGTGGAGAGTTCGAGTCTTTGAATATGAGAGACTCCGAAGAAGTTTCCGACTACTTGTCAAGGGTGTTTTTGATCGTTAACCAACTGAAAGAAATGGTGAAACAATGGAAGAGAGAAGAGTGGTCAAAAAAATACTTTGATCCCTTAATCCTAAGTTCGACTACATTGTCGTGGCAATTGAAGAGTCAAATGACATTGAGAGTCTTAAAGTGAACGAGGTATTAGGCAAGTTACAAGTCCATGAGGATAAGATCAAGAGGCGAAACAAAGGGCCCGAAGTTGAACAAACCCTTCAAGTAAAGACGAACCTTGCCGACCAACCAAAATACGATGGTGCTCGATTTCGAGGCAGAGGTAGAGGCCGTGGTCGTGGACGCGGTCGTGGTCGTGGTAGAGGTCGTGAAGGACAATCCTCGTACGACAATGATGATACGAAGCAAGAGAATCGACCAACAAGAGGTCATGGACGAGGAGAATTCAATCGGCGTCAAGACAAGAAAGATGTTGAATGTTACAATTGTCACAAATACGGACACTATGCTTGGGAGTGTCGAAATGAGTCAAACGATGAGAAGACTCATTATGTTGAAGCGACGGAAAAACAAGTTGCCGAGCTATCCCTAATGGCGTGTAAAGAATCGAGGGATGAGTAAGATTGCTCGTGGTACCTTCGTTCGGGTGCAAGCAATCACATATGCGGGAACAAACACATGTTCGTAGAGATCGATGAGTCCGTGACGGGAAATATCTCATTTGGAGATATGTCGAAGATTACCATCAAAGGGAAAGGGAGAATACTCTTCAAATTGAAAAGTAGAGCACGCCAATTCATCGAGAATGTTTACTATGTGCCGGAAATGAAGACAAACATTCTAAGTATTGGCCAGCTGCTAGAGAAAGGATACGACGTCCATATGAAAGGTCGTAACCTATACTTGAAGAATAGTCAACGTACGTTGATTGCTACTATTCCAATGACAAGCAATAGGATGTTCTTATTGAATATCTATCACGATATGGAGAATTTCTTAAATGCATGTTACGAGGATCCATCTTGGCTATGGCATTTGAAGCTAGGCCATATCAACTTTGGTGGACTAAAGATGATGTCCAAGAAGAAGGTGGTGAAGGGACTACCATCAATTGATCATCCCGATCAAGTATGTCAAGAATGTATTGCCGAAAAACAATCTCGACTAAGTTTTCCAAAGGAGTCTTTGTCAAGAGCAGCGCAACCGTTGGAGTTGATCCATACGGATATATGCGGTCCGATTGAACCTACATCACTAGGGGAGAATCGCTATTTTCTGACATTCATTGATGATTACAGTCGGAAAACATGGGTTTATTTTTTGAAGCAAAAATCGGAGGCATTCTCAACCTTCAAAAGGTTCAAAGCTCTTGTCGAGAAGCAAAGTGGCTATCACATTAAGGCGATGAGATCTGACCATGGAGGTGAATTCACTTCAAATGAATTCAATAAGTTTTGTGATGAACACGGTATTTGTAGACCCCTCACCGTTGCATACTCACCCCAGCAAAACGGTGTTGCAGAGAGGAAGAATCGATCCATTATGAACATGGTTCGATGCATGTTGAAGTCCAAACAATTGCCGAAGGAGTTTTGGGCAGAAGCCGTTGATTGTGCTGTTTATCTATCAAACCGGAGTTTGACGAGGAGTGTTTTTGAGAAAACACCACAAGAGGCTTGGAGTGGATTCAAGCCTAGCATAGCACATTTGAGAGTGTTTGGGATTATTGCCCATATGCATGTTCCGGACCAACAACGAAAGAAACTTGACGACAAAAGCCAAAAGTATATTTTTGTGGGCTATGATCAAGCTGCGAAAGGATACAAGTTGTATGATCCTGTTGAGAAGAAGGGTAAAATCAGCCGAGATGTTGTGTTCGATGAGAAGAGTTCGTGGGATTGGAATGCTCAAGAAAAGGAGCATTACACATTCTACCCGTTTGAGGCAACAACTAAGGAAGTTGACGAGGAGCCCGTAGATGAAGTAACTCCACCATCATCACCTGCATCTTCTTCCGAGGGTGAAAGTTCGAGTAGTGAAGGACCTCGAAAGACAAGGTCTCTAAATGAGATTTATGATCAACTCAATCAGAATCCAAACTTATTTTGTTTGTTTGTTGATACAGAGCCTATCAACTCTGAGGAGGCATCGAAAAGCAAGAAGTGGAAAAAGGCCATGAATGAAGAGATTTAAGCTATCAAGAAGAATGATACTTGGGAGCTCACTTCCTTACCATCGGGGCATAAACCTATCGGAGTCAAATGGGTTTACAAGGTGAAAAAGAATTCCAAAGGCGAGGTGGAAAGATACAAGGCGAGGCTTGTTGTCAAAGGGTACAAGCAAAAGGCGGGAATTGACTATGACGAAGTCTTTGCTCCCGTTGCCCGATAGGAGACCATTAGATTGCTAATCTCATTAGCAGCTCAAAAGAAGTGGAACATCTATCAAATGGATGTGAAATTAGCATTTCTAAATGGAGTGCTTGAAGAAGAGGTGTACGTTGACCAACCCGAAGGTTACTTGGTTCGTGGTCAAGAGAATAAAGTGCTAAAATTGAAAAAAAACACTTTATGGGTTAAAGCAAGCACCAAGGGCGTGGAACAGCCGCATTGATCAATATGTTTTGGAAAAGAGATTCAAAAAAGTCCGCATGAGCATGCGCTATATATGAAGGTCGATAAAGATGATATGCTAATTGTGTGCTTGTACGTTGATGCTTTAATATTTATAGGGAACAATATAATGTGAAATTGTTTGATGAGTTCAAAAAGGAGATGGCCAAGGAGTTCGAGATGACAGACATTGTGTTGATGTCTTATTATCTTGGCATTGAAGTGAAGCAACAAGATGATGGCATTTTCATCTCACAAGAAGGCTATGCAAAAGATGTGCTAAAGAAATTCAAAATGGAGAAATGCAAGGAAATCAGCACTCCAATTGACATTGGAGACAAATTGTCGAAGCACGTTGAAGGAGAGCCTGTTGATCCAACCTTATTCAAAAGATTGGTTGGAAGTCTGAGGTATCTTACATGCACAAGACCTGATATTCTATTTGCAGTTGGTCTTGTTAGCCGATACATGGAATATCCAAAGGAGTACCATTTCAAAGTAGCAAAGAGGATACTCCGCTACATCAAAGGAACTACTAATTTGGGTGTGTTCTACCCAACAAATGGAGATTTGAAGCTAGCCGGATATAGCGACAGCGATTGGGCCGGAGATCCCGATGATCGAAAGAGTACAAGTGGTTTTGCATTCTACTTTGGAGATTCAGCATTCACATGGGTATCGAACAAGCAACCGATAGTTACTCTATCAACATGTGAAGCTGAATATGTGGCAGCGACATCGAGTGTATGTCATGCAATATGGCTAAGGAGCTTACTAAAGGAGCTCAATTTTGCTCAAGAAGATTCGACACAAGTTTTTGTCGATAACAAATCAGCGATTGCACTAGCGAAAAATCCAGTGTTTCATGATCGAAGCAAACACATTGATACTCGATATCATTTCATCCGAGAGTGCATTGCAAAGAAGGAAGTTCAAGTGAAGTTCGTGAAGACCGAAGATCAAATTGCCGATATCTTCACGAAACCCCTCAAGAGAGAATAGTTTGAGAAGTTGAGGAGTCAACTTGGAATGCGTGAATCAAGCTTAGGAGGGCGTGTTGGAAATGAATAAGCTAGATTCATTAATCATGTATTGAAGGTTCTAGAATTCATAAATGTGTCTTTTGGAGAGATTCATGTATAATGCTATGGAGGAAGAATATTATTAATTATGTGTTCATGTATTGGTTTAGATACATGCTAGGAAAATCCTATAAATGGTCTATGTAATTTTTCATTTGGAGCAAGTCAAAAAAAACAAGAAGAAGTATTCTTGAGAGAATCAAAAGAGAGTTCTTGAGTGAGTTTAAATATTCCTGTTGATTGACTGAGTAATATATTTTTTATCTCCTCTCCACTACTCCTCCTCTCTACTTTAAGTTATTCCGCTGCGTGTTTTCGATCTATATTATTAAATCGATCCAACAATATATATATATATATATATATATATATATATATATATATATATTTTCTATATATATATATATATATATATATATATATATATATATATATATATATATATATATATATATATATATATATATATATATATATATATATATATATATATATATTTATATATATATATTTTTTTATTTTTTTTTATTTTTTTTTATTTTTTTTATTATATTAATATATATATAAAAAAATAAAAATAAAAAAAAAAATAAAAAAAAAATAAAAAAAAAAAAAAAAAAAAAATATAAATAAATATAAATATATATATATATATATATAAATATATATATATATATATTTATTTTTTTTTATAATATATATATATATATATATATATATATATATATATATATATATATATATATATATATATATATATATATATATATATATATATATATATATATATATATATATATATATATATATATATATATATATATATATATATATATATATATATATATATATATATATATATATATATATATATATATATATGTGTGTGTGTGTGTGTGTACACACAGGTTGTTGAGGATGATTTTAATCACTTGATTTGATTTGTTCAATTAATTTTGTATATGTTTGACTTTATGTTTTACATACGGATTTTGTGTGTGTGCTGAAATGGTAATTAACTAAATCCACAAAATGAAATTTAATGTAATTGAACACTATGGTAAATAAATGTATAATAACGTAAACTGTAATACAATAAATATGGCAAATAAAATAAACCATATAAGAATATTATATTTATTCAAGACGATAATTTTGGTCAAATATTAACCATATAATTTCATGATCTACTTTCATCAATTATTACAACAAATACAGTTTCCTTAATATCCTTTCATTAACTTATTTAAGATGTTAAAGTTAAGTATAAATACTCTTGATCCTAACTCATTCATCTCATTCTTCCTTCACACGTTTTGTTATAATCACATCAAACCACGGTACTTGCCTAACATTTTGTTCTTTCGTCTTTTTGTTTTGCAATTGTATTTTATTTTTCTTAATTTTTCGGCATGTTCATCCGAAACATGTCATTTGTTGTGTATTGTTTATTATCTTATCTGTTGAAAT